GTGAACTACAACTCCCAAACTCAAGGTCAATGCCCACCAAACCCTTCTAGTGTTTCTGTTGGTCATGGGAGTTCTGTGTGGCAAGTTTGGTCCAATTCCATCATTGGTGGAGTTCAGAGTGCTCTTCGATTGTAGGTGAACTATAAATCCCAGCAACTCCCAAATGTCAAGGTCTATTTCCCCCAAACTCCACCAGTGTTCACATTTGGGCATATTGAGTATTTGGTATTGTTTATACATGTAATATTTATAATATTATACTGTAATGCATACAATAATAACATAATTATATATTTATATTACATGTAATGTTACTAATAATATTAAAATATAGTAATATTTAATACTGATATTGTAGTATGCTAATGATATAATATATTGTATGTATATATATCTTGTAAGCCGCTCTGAGTCCCCTTTGGGTGAGAAGGGCGGCATATAAATGTTGTAAATAAATAAATAAAATAATAAATAAATAGGTGAACTATAAATCCCAGCAACTACAACTCCCAAATGGCAGTATTTGTGCCAAATTTGGTCCAGTGAACGAAAATCCATCCTGCATAACCGATTGTTTGCTTTGTTTACATTCTCCAGGGAAGTACGGAAAGGGAGCTCTTGCAGCAGCAGCTCCAAGAAGCCAACCAGAAAGCCCAGGAATACCGGAGCCGGCTGATGCGGAAGGAGCAGGAGGCGGAGAAGTACCGGCAGAGGCTGGAAGCCATGGCCTGCCCTCAGGACAGCGGGACGGAGATGTCAGCGGAGGACGGCGACGACGGGGAGGAAGCCGAGAAGGGCCACTCGGTGGAGGTCTCATCGGAGGAAACGGTGGGCACCGTCCTCGAAGGGGAGCTCCCGACCGACATCGGGGTGGAGACCGTCATCGTGTAGCGCTCGTGTTGTTCACTATTTTCTCCAGAAAGCCAGGCGACGGCTCATCTGAGACTTGTAAACGGCGGTGTTCTCCGGGGAGTTTGCTCCCGCCGTACTTTATACAAAGCTCCATCCTCGCCTTTCCTTTCGAAACAGGGCTTTAAAAGCAACCGGGAAATGCCTCCTTGTCAACGCTGTGCCGTGACTCGGACAATTCGGAGATATATTTTTTTGTAATCGTAATTTTCGTAATCTCGTAGCTCTGAATTGCCATGAGAGCGAAGCAGAGACCGTTGTGCAGGAAACGCCTCCTTGTCATCGCTGTGCCATGACCCGGACAGTTCGAAGATATATTTTTTGTAATTGTAAGTTTCGTGATCTCGTAGCTAGGAATCGCCACGAGAGTGAAACAGAGACCGTTGTGTAGGACGACGTAAATAGCAACCAGGAAACGCCTCCTTGTCATCGCTGTGCCGTGACTCGGACAGTTCGGAGATATAATTTTTGTAATAATTTCCATAATCTCGTAGCTCGGAATCGCTATGAGAGCGAAGCAGAGACCGTTGTGTAGGACAACGTAAATAGCAACCAGGAAACGCCTCCTTGTCATCGCTGTGCCGAAGATATATTTTTTGTAATCATAATTTTCGTAATCTCGTAGCTCGGAATCGCCACGAGAGCGAAGCAGAGACCGTTTTGCAGGATGACGTAAATAGCAAGCAGGAAACGCCTCCTTACCATCGCTGTGCCGCAACTCGGACAATTCGGAGATATATTTTTCGTAATCGTAATTTTCGTAATCTCGTATTTTGTAATTGCCACAAGAGCGAAGGAGAAACTGCTTTGTAGGGTGACGTAAATACGGGGTGCTCAACCATCTTCTTACCGGAGAATGGCATTCTTAGATTGTTCGAGGAGGAGAAAAGGGAGAGCGAGTCTGTTCCTATGTTTGTGGGGCTCGACGGAACTCCAAATCGTTTCCCATTTTGCGGGGAAAGCAATAAAACCAACGCCATTTGGACGTCTTGACACTCAGGGCTGCTTTTCCGCCATACTGCTTCTCATTTCGGTGGAGAAAAACCAGTTGAAGAGAGGCGAGAAATTGGAGGTGGTTCTATGTTTCGAAAGAATAAGTTCCCTTGTTTTGTGTCACCACGATAGAAAAAAAAAGTGCCATTCCTTCAACTGAGATCCGCTTTTGGGCCCAGAAGCTGTCAAGACAGAGGTGTCAAAGCACAAATGAGAACAAAAACTCCAGTATTGCCGTAACCGGAACGTTCGGAACGAGAGTTGAGGCGTTCCAAAGAGAACGAGGATGCAGATCGACTCGGGAAATACAAAAGTTGCCCGTGGAAGAGCGATGTTCTCTGCGATGCTGGGAATTTGGAAATGCCGTTTTGGGCGTCTCCCTTCGCCAACGGAGGAGAGGAATTCAGAATGTAAATCCAGCGAGTCAAAAATGGGCCGCAGGTGTGACACCTCCGCATTATAACATTGGTGCCGGAGCAGCGAAAAACAGCACAACCGAAAGAGATTTTGGACTCTTCCTTGTTCTGGATGAGGATCACGTCTGTCCCTTCCATTGGACGAAGTGAGCATTCTGCCTCCGGAAGTGGGTTTTCATGGTGGGGGGATCGTATATGTGGACTACGACTCCCAGAATCCTCAACTACTGCAGGCTGGGAGGTACTACAACTTTCCTGAGAGAGATTTTTGACTCTGGATGAGAGTCACAACCGACGTCGGGACTATCCCTTCCATTGGACGAAGTGAGCATTCTGCCTCCGGAAGTGGGTTTTCGTGGTCGGGGGATCGTATATGTGGACTACGACTCCCAGAATCCTCAACTACTGCAGTCTGGGAGGTACTACAACTTTCCAGTAAGAGATGTTTGACTCTTGCTGCCCAAGACATGCTTGTTCTGGATGAGAGTCACGACCGACATCGGGCTCGTCCCTTCCATTGGACGAAGTGAGCATTCTGCCTCCGGAAGTGGGTTTTCGTGGTCAAGGGATTGTATACATGGACTACGACTCCCAGAATCCTCAACTACTGCAGGCTGGGAGGTATTACAACTTTCCCGAGAGAGATTTTTGATTCTTGCTGCCCAAGACATGCTTGTTCTGGATGAGAGTCACAACCGACGTCAGGACCGTCCCTTCCATTGGACGAAATGAGCAGAGTGCCTCCGGAAGTGGTGGGGGATCATATACTACGACTCCCAGAATCCCCAACCACTGCAGGCTGGGAGGTGTTGTCCTCAAACATCACGGTGAGCAAGCTTTCCACGTTGGGTGCCTTCCATGTCTTCGGGTCGACCATCCCCTCCCAGATGGGAGTTGTAGTCCAGCACCTCCAGGAATGACCAGGTAGTACATTCCTTTCTAAACACCAGAGGCCTTTTCTCCCTCCCAACAATAAACACAAAGGAACTACTATGCAGTAATTCATACTGCGTTGGGGGAGAAGGGAGATAAAGCCATGTAAGAAAGCCAAGGTGCCTTCGTCTTGCCCAGAAGGGATTTCTAGACCTCCTCCTCTCCTATTGCAAAGCCATTGCGAGGTTGGTATCACTACGATGATGGCCTTGCTTTGTGATACCTTTGCCTGCCCCCAAAATCGACCTCAACACAAAAGTTGGGTCTGTCTGGCTTAAGAGGCAGGTTTTGGGCAGCCATATTTGAACCTTAGAGCCTATAAATATGAATTCCCAATGTTGTAAATCTTGAACCAACACCAACTGGGCTTTGTTGCTCTCTCTCTCTATATATATATACCATTTCCCCAAAAATAAGACAGTGTCTTATATTAATTTTTGCTCTCAAAGATGCGCTAGGTCTTATTTTCAGGGGTTGTCTTATTTTTCCATGAAGAATTCACATTTATTATTGAACAAAAAATATGAACATGTATTATATACTGTACATGTCTAGATCTGTAGTTTTCTGGCGAAGTAATTACCTCACAAACAAAGTTGGAAGGCTTTAATTGAAAAGTATGCATTACGGAACGCAACAAAGTTCCAACTGACAGTTCATTTCGCTCATGCCTCATCCTGTCACCTCCCCTGCATTGCTCCTGTTTCCATGACAACCCTCTCCCAGATTTCAAATATACACAGAATAGGACTAATTCTAGGACAAACATACTTGGAAGGCTTTAATTCAAAAGCATGCATTGCGGAACGCAACAAAGTTCCAACTGACAGTTCATTTCCCTCACGCCTCACCCTGGTGCCTCCCCTGCATTGCTCCTGTTTCCATGACAACTCTCTCCCGGATTTCAAACATATACAGGACAGGTCTAAGGCATGGCCTAATTTCCTGGCTTCACACAAAACCAGGAAATACGGTTACGACAGGACAGTAGTTGCCACCACAAACCAGCATAATGATGGCTGTAAAGTACCCGGCTCCCACACACTGTCTAGAGACTGTAATGATCTCCCATAGTAGTTCCGGGACCACTTGTACAACAGGGACTGTATTGCAGCTTCCGGCCACCTTTGCTAGGTCTTACTTTTGAGGGAGGCCTTATATTTAGCAATTCAGCAAAACCTCCACTAGGTCTTATTTTCAGGGGATGTCTTATTTTTCCACGAAGAAGAATTCACATTTATTGTTGAACCAAAAAAAAAAAAAAAGGAACATGTACTATATAATGTACATGTCCGGATTTGTAGCTTCCTCGCAAAATAATTACCTCACAGATGAAGTTAGAAAGCATGCATTACGGAACGCAACAAAGTTCCAACTGACAGTTCATTTCCCTCACCCTGGCACCTCCCCTGCATTGCTCCTGTTTCCATAACAACCCTCTCCCAGATTTCAAGGCTTTAATTGAAAAGAATGCATTACGGAACACAACAAAGTTCCAACTGACAGTTTATTTTCCTCATGTCTCACCCTGGCCAGGAAGCCCTGCATTACTCCCGTTTTGATGGTAACCCTCTCCCAGATTTTGAAAATAGACAGACTTTGCTAGGTCTTACTTTTGGGGGAGGCCTTATATTTAGCAATTCAGCAAAAAACCCCACTAGGTCTTATTTTTAGCGGATGTCATATTTTTCCACGAAGAAGAATTCACATTTATAGTTGAACCAAAAAAACCAAAACATGAACATGTACTATATAATGTACAAGTCTGCATTTGTAGCTTTCTGGTGAAATAATTACCTCACAGATGAAGTTGGAAAGCATGCATTACGGAACGCAACAAAGTTCCAACTGACAGGTCTTATTTTCAGGGGATGTCTTATTTTCGGGGAAACAGGGTATATAGATCTGCGTACTGTATATAAAAGAACAATCCTATGTCATGTTTGTACCATGGAGAATAGTATCCTGCCCTTTGCTGTCATTCTAATAGCTGCCATGGCTTCCCCTCCATCCAGGAAAACTAGGCATCCCAATTGACGAGCTCGGAAAAGTGCCAGAAAGTGTCCTGGCCTTTTTTCTGCTGCACATTGAACGGTACTACGTTTCCTCTTCAGCTGCCGAAGCCCTATGGAGTCCTTTGGGTTTTTGAGAGAGAGAGTTCTCAACCAAACTACACATCCAAAGGCTTCCTAGAGTGGATTCGTGGCCTTGCAAAGTGGAATCGCACTGCTGTAATTGTATAGTGTTTACCAAGGTGGTCTCCAAAGAAACCTATGCACAGACGCATCCCAAAAATGGACCAAAACAAGGATTGTATCATCTGCGAAAAGATAATTCCACCAAATTAAGACGACACACATTTATGGATTTAGCTTCCATCGTTGTGCCTTAATAGCCCTAAAAGGAGGAGAGGATTTGGTCAACCTCGTGGCCATATTGTTGCCCCGTTGACCGACCTAGAAAAGGTCTTCGGTACGCTTGGAACCTCTCTCTCGTTGCGTCCCGTTCTGAGCTCTCCGCCGAAGTGCGTTTTTTATATTTTCCGAAAAGATTAAAAGCTTTATGTACAGGTGGAATCAGAGTAGAGGGGGGAGTATATATTTGATATTTATCTTTACATTTTAGGGTCCTTTTTTTGCCCCAGAAGGCGTATACAGTTCCCTTTGTCCGCACTGACTCCCCCTTTTTTTGGTACGTATTGTTTGGTTAATAAAACGATAAAAGCCGTCTGCTTCTC